ACTTAATTCTCAATCACAGCTTTTCCTTTGGAATTCACCTCCAAACCACTCGTATCTATTCAAAAATGACTCAATAATATCAAATATTGCTAAAGGAATCAATTATATTGCATAAATTAAATTTCCCAAATTTTCCTCCAAAAAGTAGAAAAATCGATCCCGGGTCCGCTTGGTCAAAATCCGAGATTCGGACCAAAATCCTTTTACCCATTCACCCCCAAGCCCGAATATGTAATTAATTTTGGAATCCGACCTCAAATTGAGGTCTAAATCCCCAAATTCCCAAAATTCCTATTTTATACCCTAACCCCTAATTCTACCATGAAAACTCTAGATTTTAGGTTGAAAATTTAAGAAATGTAATGGGTAATTGAAAGAAGATGGTTTAGAATCACTTACCAACAATTTGGGGAAGGAATGACTCTTGAAATATCGCCCCTTACCATTTGGGTTTTGAGAAAAATGAGTTTTTTTTGGGCAAAAATCTCGTTTTGGGTTCTGTTAAGTGCTGGGCGACAGTGTTCATCGCGTTCGCGAGAGCACTGTCGCGTTCGTAGAGCACTGTCGCATTCGCGAAGGGTACTGGCTGCCAAGCCTTCGCATTCGCGAGACCCAGATCGCGTTCGCAATGGCTACGCCCCTCTGGCCTTCGCGTTCGCGTGACGTTGCTCGCGTTCGCGATGAAGGAACGACCAACCCTCCCCCAGGTCGCCAAGTGCTTCGCGTTCGCGTTGAGCCGGTCGCGTTCGCGAAGGGTAAATCCCCCATCACTTCGCGTTTGCGAGTAGACCTTNNNAGGAATGGCTCGCGTTCGCGCTGAAGGAACGACCCCCCTCCCCCCAGGTTCCCACATGCTTTGCGTTCGCGTTGAGCCGGTCGCGTTCGCGAAGGGTAAATCCTCCATCACTTTGCATTCACGAAGAAGAAGTCTCAGCCTCATCAGATTACTCTTCGCGTTCGCGAGAGGACCTTCGCGAACGCGAAGAAGGATATGACAGACACCAGAATCTGCAGAAACTAGATTTTTCCCAAGTTCAAAACATCTTGTGGCCTATCCGAAACTCACCCGAGCCCTCGGGGCTCCAAACCAAACATGCATACAAGTCCAAAAATATCATACGAACTTGCTCGCACGATTAAATTGCCAAAATAACACCTAGAACTCTAAATTTAGTGCCAAATAAAATAAAATTCTCAAGAACACTTTAAAACTTCTAATTTCTCAACTGGACGTCTGAATCACGTCAAATCAACTCCATTTCTCACCAAATTTCACAGACATGTCTTAAATATCATAATGAACCTGTATCAGGTTCCGAAACCAAAATACGGACCCGATACTAACAATGCCAAATATCAATCAATTCTTAAAAATAAATAATTTCCAAACTTTTAATTTTCATCAAAAATTCATAACTCAAGCTAGGGACCTCCAAATTCGATTCCGGGCATACGCTCAGGTCCCATAATTCGATAAGGACCTGCCGGGATTGTAAAAGCACGGATCCGGGCCCGCTTACCCTCTTCCTACCTTCGGTTTTTTTTTACATGCGTGTTAAAGTTAAAAGCAGACAAGGGTAAACTCTCCATTAAAATTAGATCAAGCAAATCCTAACATTACAAGTTCCGACCCCACGCCATTGGCATCTCACCGGCAAGGTTCCTTCCCCGCCATATCATGACCAACATTTGCAATTAGATAGCATCGTTGTGCCCTTATCATATGTCAATGGCGTCTTCTGGAGCTTGGACGTACCGAGATCGAACTTCCGAGTTCGAATCTTTGTCCAAAACACTGAAGAAGATTGCAGGAAGCACCGCTCCTGATCAATCACAACCGAATTTTTCCTCTTCTACCTCAAAATCACCAGCTACTCCGGATCGATCCGAATTTAACAAGAAGGCTTCGAAAATTGGGTTAAGCATTCACCAAACCTCTCAGAAAATTGATAGGCTCGCTAAATGTATGTTTCCTTTTCTTCCGCATCTTGATCTCCGTGTTTTTAAATTTTTTTGTGTTACCTGGTTTTTATCAAATTATCTGTAGCTTGATTTGAAGCTGTGACTAAACTCTTTCATGTTAGCCATTGAAACTGATACATGAGCATTATAGGCTTCTATCTTGTAAATTTTGGGATTTAGTGAAATGTATGATTTAGTAGTTAGCACTTTTAGTGTAGTCCTATGCATTCTATGAGTTGGTTTAGCCTTAGTCTTTCATAGTTTAATACCTTTAGAAAATATACAGTACTTTTACTTTTTATTCATATTTGCATCATACTGGATGAGAAGAGTTTAAATGCAGTCAATGATGATTCATATAGCCAATTAGCCCTCATTGCGCAGAAATCATACCTTGTTGACTTGTTGTTGCTTAGTTCACCTATTATAATTTAACGTTCTGCCCTGGGGTGCAGTCGGGATACTACAATATGTCTTCAATCACATGGAATCGAAGGCAGAGCTGATGAAAATTCTTCAGATGTTCCTCAAAATGCTCCTTTAGTTAGGATTTTTAGATTCCTGAAATAAAGGAAATTAATTTGTTCAGCTTAATAGCGAATAATTTGATTTGGTTTAAAATATTTGTTACTTTATGAAGTGGCTGTAGACATACACTGATAACTTTGGTTTCATTAAGTCGTTAGTAAGTGTAGGACTGTAACCCAGTAGTATTTTGATTTATATATAAGAGACTAGTTTCCATATTGCTGAATTATTTTAGTAGAACATAGAAAAAAGCCTTGACGTTCACTTTAAGATAGAGAAATTTGTGTTCTCGATGCTTAGTGCTTTTGCATCAGTTTGTTCCTTTTTTTATTCAACTCAAACACTTTAAGTTTCAAGGTTCACTTGGGTGAGGAGTTTGGTGCTTTCATATAAAGCAAGTGAATCATCATTTTCTTTTGGTATGTTTGCTTTGTAGCATTTGCTTAAAGTTCCAATTGCCTAACTGACTTCAGATTTTATGTTTGAATCAAAATACAGTGGCAAAACGATCATCCATTTTTGACGATCCAAGCAAAGAAATCCAAGAATTAACAGCTTTGATAAAGAATGATATCACGACACTTAACGTAGAAGTTTCTGATTTACAAACCCTCCAAGACATGGAGGTAGCTGATGGAACTCATTCAAAAGATAGAGTTGTTCATTGTACTGCTGTTTGTGATGATTTGAAGACCAGACTAATGGCTGCTACAAAATATTTCCAGGACGCACTAACTACAAGGACAAAGGTTGATGCCAAGTGGGCTGTTACCATTTTTCATTTTAGCACCCTGAAGTAGACGACTCATTGCCTAACTCAAGAGTTTTATTTTTTTCACTGCAGAATATGAAAGCACATGAGGATCGGAAACAAATATTTTCTACAAATCTCGCAAGAGAAAACCCTTTGAGGCAACCTCAAAAGACTGTAGCAGAGCCACCCCCTTGGTCAACTCCTCCAACAGGAGGTGGTCCACATTCATCAGTGTAAGCGTACTTTTCTCTTCCTGGCTTAGGAGCGGAAGTGACTTTGATCACAATGATAAGTTTTAAGATGTGTAGATCCCATTAGTTACGTAAGTAAACTGTTGTTACAACTGAATGGCTGGTTGCAAAATGCTTATAATTTTGACAGATTTAATCAGTACATTTACTTATCAAAAAAGATTTAATCAGTAGGTTGCTAGTTGTTTGACATAGGGTGTAGAAGTTAGAATTTGAAATTAGATCTGCATGTTATAACATATGTAAATTTGACTTGATGATGTAGATATATTTTTGCTGTAGGATAGAAGTGAGTTTCAAATTATTGAACAAGTTATGGGTCTCTTGTCATTGGGGATTCTGATCTTAATGCTAGTTAACTCTTGATATATGTGCATTTGGTTTTCCAAATTTTTCTATTAACTGACTTGTTTATATACATATACACACACATATGTACATATATGTGTGTGTATTTTTATTTTTTTATTTTTTTTATTTTTAAAGTTTATCTCTAGGACATGCATTTTGATCTTGTTTGGTAGATAATGAATCTCTGTGCCAGCCAGTGCCAGCTCTTTGTAATTTTCTTTTCTCCTTTTGTTCCTTGCAAATCAGGTTACCTGCAAATGGGGTTCAGGCCAGCAATCAATTAAGGTAAGTTCCAAAGACCGCTCTATGTCCTATTTTACAATCTTATATATTTGCTTCTCCCTATGTCCCCATTCATGTGACAAAATTCTCTTTTAGGACCACGCATTTCTACTTCTACAAAATAACGAATTGAATGTGAAAACTGCAAATTCATTGCAGAAGCAAGTCTAAACCGTAACTTAATCTTTTCTGAATCGTACTAAATTATCAATTATGATATGCTTCAATCATTACGCATGTCATGGACCCGTCAATTGTATTTATTAAGCTTCATTTCATGCCAAACTGGGTTACATAAAGTGGGGAGAAAATATTCCTGTAGTGCTTGGTTTGACTTTGCATCGAGCATGTAGAAAATCCAATTTGCAAGCAATTTTTATAGCAGAAATAATGTGCTTGTTTTTTTGCTTTACAAATAGCATATGAAAGCTTGGTTACATTATTTAATCCCTTTCTTTTTTGTTAAATAATAAGATGAATCAGATGGATTCTTGTCGACTTATTCATCAAAGACAAGTGAGGAGTATGTGAATGCAAAAGTTCCAAGTGTAGTTTCTTTGATTCAAAGACATTGAATCACATACCTGTAGAAGATAAATAAATAAAAAGGATATTGAATCACATCTGATGATGATAATATGGGTTGTTATTTTCAAGAAGTGTTGATTTTTTCTCCAATTTTTTGGAAATTGTTTCAACAAATACCATTTAGAAAAATACTTCAGTTTTCGGAAAAAACCCTGAATGACATCTGGAATAGGTTCAGTTTTTTCAAAAGCTAAAAAACTTTTCTCTAATGGCGTTTGGTTGATAAAATATAAAAACTGAAAAAACGAATTTTGGGGAAATTTCACTTGCTTTGAAGCAAACCCCACCTAGGATTTCCCCGATAAACATGACCGGGAAGAAAAAAAAAAGCACTCATGCAATACCAGATTAATCTCTTTGGGTTTCTTCTTACCCGGGGGGGGGGGGGGGGAGCTCCTTAAATCTTCTCGTTTCCCCTAATCATCTCCCTACTGGTTATTGTCTTGTATGCTGCTTGTCATAATTAGTTCCTTCTCTCTCCTACTTCGTCCAATTTTAGAAGAAATAACCCAATAATTGGAGGTTAGTGCCAGGGAATTTTTCTTTCTTGCCTGTTATCATCTCCTTCTTCTCGATTAGGAGTGAGGAAACCGAGTCTGATTGATTTTTTCAGGTGATTAAACAATAATATTGCCTTCTTTGATTATGCTGAAATTTCTTGTATACTCAAATATTCTGGTCTTTACCTTGCATATTCAGGCGGAGGTTGGCTTCAAATAGTCCTCCATCTCACCAAATGGAAATGTCCATGTTACAAGAAGTGGTTCCAAGACAAGAAAGTTACTTGCAAAGTAGGGCAACTGCTCTTCAAAATGTTGAATCCACTATTTCAGAACTGAGTGGGATCTTCACCCATCTAGCTACAATGGTTGCACAGCAAGGGGAGCTTGCTATCAGGTAGAAAAATCCTTGAGTGTTTTTTTTTTTTAAAAATATTTCATGTAAAATTTGTCTTTGCTTTCTCCTACCCTAAATGTATGACATTTGCCGGTCGTTCTGTGCTCTCTAATAGTTGGGTAATATGTTAAACAAATATATTTATCCGTGATTAGAGCCCTAGAAGGAAAAGGGCGTTAGAAGCAGAATTTCTTTCTATGTCAAAGTGGGGCTGAATTCATGTTTCCTGTGTGGATATAGAAGTATATAAGTTGGCCCAATCACCTTTGGTTATTGTACAACATTTTTAAAGACGGCATTCTTATCTGAATTGCAAAATTTGTGGCTGCTGTTGTTACGGAATCAAAGATTCTTGAATTGTAGAAAATCAGTGGAAATCAGATCTCTCTTAATGAGAGAAACAGAGCAACTAGAAAACTAATCTTGAAGTGATAAAAGTCACTGGTCCTTAGTAATGGTGTACATGGTGCAGAGACTAAAAACACCCAATTAAATATGTTGCTATAGTTAGATATAAATCTAATGATCTCTAAACTTTACATTTGTGTAAATTGAGTACTGCTGTTGGAAGAAGAAATATGACAAGTCTATCTGTCTATTAATCTGAATGAAGTAGTTGGGAGCAACAACGATGCAATTAAATCTGACTGGGCCCAGCAAATCAGACTGTTAAATAGGTGACCTGCCACCTGACGTAGCTTGGCTGCTAGTTGGACTGTTAAATCTTGTAGGTCTTTAACTATCCTAGTATTGAATAAGAGTTTCATGAGGACTAAAGAAGAAGTTTAATTAGGTTGTTAAATACTTTTTGGTGATTTGGATATTGGATCCTAGATTGCTTGAGAATAAATTACAAAATCCTTATTATGCCTCTGGCTAGTCCTTTCACCAGTTTGATCATAAGTATGAGCAACACACTCAATGTGATGCAAATTTTTGGTTTGCTTTCAAATGCTCAGACATTTTCTGTTACCTCATTTTCCTGTTGTCCAGTGTTTGAGCCCCTCCCAGTTTGGTTGGGGGGTTGTTGGGGGGGAGGGGGGGATTTTCATCATGAAGTTAGCAAGAAAAATAAACGTTATGCTGACATTTACTTTCAATGTAATATCAGCATATAATTGGAGAAAAGCTACCCAAATGTTAGTTCAGTGATTGAATTCTCAAATTGCATATGACGTAGAATGTTAACTTTGATTGGCATTGAATTCTGTATGAAGTTCTTCCCGCCTCATTTTGTTTGACCTATTTGTTTAAAAAACGACAGTATTCTTCTATAACTGGGATCTTTCTTATTATCTTTCTTTTGGTCAATTTTTATCTTAGTTTGAAAGAGTGGTTTGGTGATGTTTAGTATGTAGCTTCTAGAACAATAACAAAAATTAAAATATATCTGTACCAGATGCTAGATCAAAAATTAAACAAGTAAAAAATGGTGTTGAGAAGTATAAACTATGGGCCATATAAACTGATTGAAAGACTAGAGAGGAAATACTTATCTTTCGTATATACTCCCTCCCTATGTTGCTCGGACTCTCCGAAAATGTCGCCGGGTGTGTGTCGGATCCTTCATGTGTAGTGTATATTTGGAGGATTCGATGGGTGAGACAACATTTTGGAGAGTCCGCGCAACATAGCTCCCTCCTTCCCATTTATATTCATAAAATTTGACTTAATGTGGAGTTTAACATGTTATTTTGACTTTTATATTCTATAAGAGCGGATAAAGTTATTGAAGTAATGGTTGAAAAGTTAGTTTGATAGAGAAAATATCACATCAAGGTTTAAAATCTAAATAGTTAAATGAATTTGAATTTTGAAAGTTGTAAATTGACATTTTTAGCAGAATTGTGTCAAAAACTTCAAGATTTTCCAATAATTGAAAGAGTGTCATATGAATTACAACAACAACAACAACAACCCAGTAAAATCCCACTAATGGGGTCTTGGGAGGGTAGTGTGTACGCAGACCTTACTCCTACCCCGAAGGAGTAGAGAGGCTGTCATATGAATTGCTATCGATAAATTTTTCCTTCAGGCAAAATGGACATATTTTGGGGAAGGTTAAAAGGCAGAATTTGATCGGGGAAGCGGAAAGCAACTTATTTATACATTTTCAGTAGGAACTTGAAGTTGAAATCCGCTTAGCAATATGTTATTTTGTTCTCCTTGTTCTTACCTTACTACTTTGGTTTATCACTAAATTGCCCGATTGATGTCTGCAGGATTGATGATAACATGGACGAGTCGTTGACAAATGTTGAAGGTGCACAAGGTGCTTTGTTGAAGTACTTGAACCGAATATCATCAAACAGGTCGCTCATGGTTAAAATTTTTCTTGTTTTGATACTTTTTCTCTGTGTATTTATATTTTTTCTGGCTTGATGTCGGTTAGGAGAGGTAGATACACAGTAATTGTTACATCTGGTGGTATTCCTCCACTTGATTATCTTATCGGCATAGTAGTATCAAAAGCCGATTTCTCTCAGTAGCTTTGCCTCGAGAGGTGTAATACTTAGCTGTTTTTTTGTACATAAGGTACTGTAATAGCAAATTTCTTGCAGATACTCACAACCGAATTATATTGATACCCTTTTAGTGATGTCGATTGCTACCCAGCAAAAGAATGAAGTTCTGTATCAACGATTGAAGAATGAAGAATAACTGAATATTTGGAATTGCCAGTTTTCTTTAATTCCCCCNTATTAATCTAAAATTCCCATTTGTAGCACTAAGTTGTCTCAGATGACTACTTTCTGTTGCATGTTTTCTCGCATTAGAGTTTCAACTTTCAACTACCTGGTTCGTATGTCACCACCACCATGTTTGATTTCGTATTTCTAGCTCTGCATAATAAGTCAGCAAAAAACAAGCTAGTGCTGTGGGAAACTCGATGGTCTAGAAAGATCTTTTCTTGGGACCTTTACTTGCAGAGTTGTAGGCTAATGACATATTCTTTTATTAGCATAAGGCAACTTTACCTCTCCTTTTCTGATCTTGTGATGTGAGCGCTAAAGTTTCTAAAGATAGGAGAGATGTTTCAGACATCATGTTGCAATGAAGCAATACTAGATTGGAAATAGATTTCATCTCATCAATCCTCTGCTGTTTTTCTGATGTGTCTTGGTTTTATGGTCTCCTTTTATTCATTCTACTGCTTTGGTAAAGGCTGTTCAACTTTTAAAGAGATTCATTGACATAAACCTGGAAATAATTTTATTGAGATCATGCATAATGCATATGCATTATTTGTCATCGGAGTTTTCCTGAGCTCTTCTGGACTTCTGGAATTCAACAATGAATGTTGCGAGTCAAATCTTATGAGATCAGAAAGAAAATTGCTTTTACACTTTAAAGGCTTTTAGTCTCTTTTTTGTGTATATGGGGATTCTATCATTGCTTGCAGGCAGATGGTAATTTGTTTTGTAAAGATCTGGATGAGCTTTTCAATATTATGAATCATTTGTGCAAAGAGTACACTGAGGGATCTTTGGGATTGTTTGAGTTGAAGAAAATTCAATATCTATGTAAAATTTCGTCTTTGCTTAAACGTTTAGGGGTCGTTTGGTATGATAGATAAGTAAAAATAATCATGGGATAAAAATTTAGTACTGCCCCCTTGTTTGGTTATTGAACTTGGAATAAGTTATTCCAGGATTAAATATAATACCGGGATAACTTATACCTGCTAGAGGGTAGAATAGTAATCCCAGGATAAAACAGTAAAATTAATAATCTCAGGATTAATACAACATACCAAACAATCAATAAGATATAATAACAGAATAACTAATCCCATTAAAACTAATTCCAGCATAACTTATTCCAACATAACTTGTTTTCAAACCAAACAAACCCCTTAGTTTACAATATAAATCTTCACAACTAATATAACTTTCATGTAACTAATATACGTTTGATTTGTTGTATTTAAGTTTTAAAGTTCGTATAACTTATGCTGAGTTTAATATTAGAAGCCAAACGATGTATTACCTATTCTAGTATAAATTATACATGAACTAGTCAATTTATTCGCGCTTCGTGCGGTCAAATAAATGAAATTATGAAATGCTTAAGCTTTTTTATAAATATATTTGAGATAGGAGAATAAAATTTTCATGCATATACATAAAGCAATTAATTGCAAAAGTTGATTAAATCACAAATATATAATTTATCCTCGTGCTCCAACACTTTTCATAGTACTAAAATTACAACTATATATATTTTAAATACAAAAGTACATAGCAACAAAATTGTGTATGTGTATTAACTTTAAAAATAATATACGTAAAAAAAGAAAGAATGTGTATTAACTTTAGAAATAATATACGTAAAAAAAAAAGGAATCACACAATCAGTAAACATTACAACAATATATACATTAAATACAAAATTACATAGCAACAAAATTGTGTGCGTACATTAACTTTAGAAATAATATATGTAAATAAAGAAAGGATGCCACAATCAGCAAATATTTAGGCAGCAAAAGCTTTTAACTACCGATGAATCTTAATTCTTCTTTCCGTGTGGTATAGCATACTCGAAGCAGGTATTGATAAAATTTATCCTCAACCTGGACAATACCAGACTTGCTTATGTCAAAGAAATATGAAGACGAGTGTCGAAATTTTGGTCAATATTCTGCAACCAAAATTCATAAAGCTCATCTTAATCTGGTTATCTTGGCATTTCAGTGAAACTTCTAGCATGGTTTACAAAATTTTAGAATTTTTTCTTTTTCTTTTAAAATTGTTTTTAGTAATATTCATACGATTTACCTGAATTGAGAACTTTGAATGTATGAATGCATTCTCAAGATCCGCTCTAGCACCAAATACCTTCCTTGGACATAGCATCAAACTAAGCTTCTGCTAAAAGAAACTCTATTAATTCTTGAATAGACAATAGTTTTTTCACCAAATTCTGATTTAAGTTTCTTGATCTAGTACTGACACGTAGTCTCGCTTTCAGTTGGTAGTACATTTTTATGACTAACCGTTATTTTCTTTCATTGTTGATCACCTTATTGTCTTGTTGTTTTTATTCTGCTTTTATATAACTTTTTGGTACTATCCCTTCTTGTCTATATTTTCATTAATGTGGTGCTTATGCTTTCATGAGCCGAGAGTCTATTGGAAATAACCTCTCTATCCTCACAAGGTAGGGGTAAGGTCTGCGTACACACTACTCTCCCCACACCCCACGATGTGGGATAGTACTGAGTATGTTGTTGTTGTTTATCTAGCTAGTGAACTTATATAGGCATATGTGGGAGAATACAAGATGGTGCCATAAATGTACACATTAAATAATATTTGAGAGTTATGATAATCAACAAAATTTAGTAATGGATTATAGGGGAGGGGAAAATTTGAAAGAGCGCATAAATACATATTAAGATATCCAATAAAAACACAATCATGGGTAGGAAAAGTTGACTTTGTATTTAAAGACTTAATTTTGGATTATTGATTAAAAATAAGGTAAATAAAGAAATGTGATGACCCAAAAGGTCATCTTTAAATTTAATAATTAATTATATATTTTAAGACCTCGAAAAGCGTTATTCATCATTCCTCGACTTGCGTGCGCAGTATGTATAATTTTCCGGAAAGTTTTTATATGAAAAATTGATTAAAATGTGAAATAGAGCCTTAAAACTCAACCGAGTTGACTTTGGTCAACATTTTGAGCAAACAGACTCGGATCAGTATTTTAACAGTTTCAGTAGGTCCGTATTGTGATTTGAGACTTGGGCGTATGCCCGAAATTTAATTTGGAGGTCCCTAACTTGAATTATCGCCAGATGGCGAAAACTAGAAGCCTTAAGCTTAAAGATTTCAAAGTTTGACCAAAAATTGACTTTTATTGATATCGGGGTCGGATTGGAGTTCTGAAAATTTTTATAGGTTTGTTATGTTATTTATGACTTGTCTGTCGAATGTGGTGAGAAACAGAGTTGATTTGACGTGATTCAGACGTTCGGTTGTGAAAATAAAAGTTTTAAAGTTTTCTTAAAAATTTCATTTGACTTGGTATCCGATTCGTAGTTCTAGGCGTTATTTTGGTATTTTGTTCGCGCGAGTGAGTTCGTATGAGATTTTTGGACTTGTGTGCATAATTGGTTTGGAGCCCCGAGGGCTCAGGCGAGTTTCGGATAGGCTACGGGTGTTTTGAAACTTAGAAAAATATGATTTTTTGGCTTCAGCTGATATATGGTGTATTCTTCTTCGCGTTCGCGAAGGTACTCTCGCGAACGCGAAGAGTAAACTGGGGCAGGGTGATTTTCTTAATCGCGAACGCGGTAGCCGTGTCGCGAACGCGAAGCAATGGGGCCCTTACCCTTCGCGAACGCGAAGCTTTAGGGACCTAGGGGGAAGGGACAATCGTTCTTCTACGCGAACGCGAAGGCCAGGAGGGAGAAGCCTTCGCGAAGGTGGACTCGCGAACGCAAAATCCACTCGGGATGCTGCTCATCGCGAACGCGAAGAAGGCCTGACGACCACACCTTAAAACAGAATCAAAACGGGATTTTTCCCATTTTTCACAAACTCTCCATTAGAACTCGGTTTAGGGGCGATTTCAAAGGAGTTTTTTACGATTTCGAACTGGGCAAGTGTTCTTTATCATATAGTGATTATATTTCATAAATCTAAGTTTATATTCATCATTTATTTCGGATTTAGATGGGAGAAATTAGAATTTTTGTAAAACTTTTCAAAAACGAAAATTTAAGATTTGAAGGTCCATTTGACATCGGAATTTGATAATTTTTATATGGTTGGACTCGTCTTGGAACGAGAGTTCGGATTTCGTAAATTTTTCAGAGATTCGAGACGTGAGTCCCACTGATGATTTTAGAAATAAATTTTGGATTTTAATCCGGAAAATTAGTAAATTCATATGGAATTAATTCCTACGATTTATATTGAGTATATTGAATTGTTTATGACTAGATTTGAGAATTTCGGACACGAATTCGCGAGATAAAGGTTTATTGGATTCTTGAATTTGGTTGTAAAGCGAGGTAAGTGTTGTGGTTAACCTTGACTTGAGGAACCCTTAATTTAATTGTTATGTGAAATGCATGTGAATGACATATAAGCGAGGTGACGAGTGTCTATACGTCGTCAAATTAATTGTTTGCATAATTATTTAAAAAATCATAAATCATTTTAAATCATAAATTAATTACTATATTAATTATTTTTCTCATGTTCTTTGCTCAATATCATGCCTTGAATCCATGCTATAATTGTTACATTCTTATTTGATTTATGTGACTTGATTGCCACTTGACGTTTAGTATACTAATTATTAAAATGCCTATTACATCTTCAATTTTTACAATTAATTACTACTTGTCATCTCTTATTTCTAATAAATCATAATTATTGTATGCTTGTTGTCTTATAATTTCATTTAATTGTTGTATTTATTGGAGTAATTTCTTTTATAAGAATTGATAAATGAATATATTGGAGGAACGGGTTGCACGCCGCAACAGAATTGATTGAAATGAATATATTGGAGGAGCGAGTTGCACGCCGCAACAGAATTGATTGAAATGAATATATTGGAGGAGCGAGTTGCACGCCGCAACAGTATTGATTGAAATGAATATATTGGAGGAGTGAGTTGCACGCCGCAACAAATTTGATTGAAATGAATA